GAAACAGCCAATTTAGGCTTAACGTTTAGGAAAAATGGAGATATGTTTAAGCAATCTTCTTTTCTTTAGCTCCCTGTCCATGACACATCTGTTTTTTGTGATTGAAAATCATGTATAGGATGGAGAGTGGAAGGAGCTGAACTTCTCTTACCTGAGTACCATGATCATATACACTCTGCGTGCCTTCCTCTTCATTTACTGCGCTCAAGACTTCCTCTGCCCACCCAGGAACACAGCCAGTGTGAGAGGCTAAGTGATGTTTAACCCTTGGCACTTTCTTATTGGCATTTGATTTTGCTGCAAGCAGGAGGTTTTTTTTGTCTCATTGAGGACTGATTGGCACTTATGTCCCAACTAATGCAGCAGTAAAAGATTTAATAGAAGTGGAACACGACTGCTGCCGTAGATTTTCAGGTACTAAAGTTCGAGCAAAATGGAATAAGGGCCAGGTGGCAGTATCTGCAAACTGTGCTAATGGCTCCATCAACAGATGTTTAATGTACTTAGAGTTATTTTCCACATCCTACTGTTGCTAATACATTTCCTCCCATACCTCCTCACAACATAAAAATTTTGAGAGGAAAGGAAACATTAATAACCCCAAAGTGTTTAATTTTGAAGAACAGTTAAGTCTTAATACTGGTCATACGGTGACCTGTCTGACCACTGCATGGCTTATTGTAGGCTCCAATAATTTTGTTGCCATCATTAGTAGAAGTTGTTAACCAAGAGAAGGCTTTAAAATGTGTGTGTCTTCTCCTTTATTTACCCTCGAATCGCATACTTGCTTTGAAGTTATTTTCCAATGTATCAACAATATTGGGGCACTATGCAGCGACATTCTAGCCTGAGATGCAGGTGAAGTGAGCAGACGGCCTCATTGGAAATGAGGATTAAATGCCAGCCTGCCAGGTGTGGGACCAATTTTTTTTCCCCATTGGAACAGCCTGACATCAAACCAGACAATCAAGGAGAATTAGACAATTCCAGAGAGTCAACAGTAAACATCAGGGGTTGTTTGTTTTCCTACAACTCTGGGAGAAGCATCTTCTTCAATGCACACATCAGGACATTTATGTATTTGATTGCCCAGCCACTTGGCTGCAAGATAAGGGAGCCCTGGTGACATGATGGCTAAGAGTGGGCTGGATGGTAACCTCAAGATCAGCAGTTTGAAATTACTAACCTGTCTGCAGGAGAAAGATGAGGCATTCTACTCCTATAAGGAGTGAGTTTCGGAAACTCACAGGGCCAGTTCTACCCTGTTCTATAGGGTCACTGTGGCATCCACTTGGTGGCAGTGAGGGGGGAGGCTGCTAAGTTCAGAGGACAGAGCATAAGGGGTTAAGTTGCAGGACAGAAAAGCTTCTGCTGGAGAGAACGATATGCAGACAGGAGGTTTGGGAATAGTGGTTATGGCTTCCGGGGCCATTCGAGAGGGAGAGAGCAAGGGGCAAAAACCAGACGGGTTACCATCGAGTCAATGCTGCCTCATGTTGACTCCGTGTGTGTTAGACTGGCCTGTGCTTCATGGGGTTTTCAGTGGCTGATTTTTCCCAAAAGGCTGCTTTTCCCATTGAGGACTGATCGGATGGACTTCCTTTTCTTGAGTCTATCTTCTCTGCATACACTCAAACCTCTAACCTGGTAATGAGCAGCTATGAACCATTTGTACCACCCAGGGATAGGAAGAGGGTAAATAAGTCTGACCAAAGCTCTAAACCAGACTCACTGACACCAATTCGATTTCAGCTCACGGCGACCCAATAGGACTGAGTAGAACTGCCCTTGTGGATTTAAGACTGTACATCGTTACAGGAGCAGAAAGTCTCATTTTTCTCCCCAAAAGATAAAACTCACTGCTATTGAGTCAAGTACAACTAATCGTGACCTCTATGGGTTTCCAAAACTATAAGGAGAACGCCTCTTGAGTCTTTCTCCTATGTAGTGGCTGCTGGTTTCGAACTGCTGGCTTTGCTGTTAGCAGTCCGAAGTGTAACCACTATGCTACTGGAGCTTCTTAAATAAATGTAAGGGAGTCCATAAATGTGGGCCAGCCGAAGGGGCGGGAATCCTACTGTCAGTTACATGGCAGAGTGTTCTTGCACCTCCTTCACCCTTCCGCCATATTTTCTCTTTCATTTTCTGACTCCTCTCACCCCAGATGGTCTCATATTTCATGGGAATATGTAAGGATATTCAAGGATGGAAGGAAGAGGAGATAGAGTGAAAGTTAGGGTTTAATTTATCTATGAACTTACATTATTCCCTTTCCCCCACTGTCTACAATTTTCTAGCTCTAAAATGGAGAAGTAGAAAATTTAAAGTAAGTAAAAAGCTACTTTGACAAACCTAGAATAGTGATCAATCGGATAATTCTCATTCTAAAGAAACTCACTCAAAGGCTAAGACATTTACATCAAAGTCACAAAGGAAGAGGGATGAGTCAGTCCGACAGCATCTGTGTTAAGCTTATACTAGTGCCACCAAGCCTTTCCCCAGATAGTTCTCTTGGCTCATTTTTTCCCTTCTGGTTATGACTTTTACTCCCCCTTTCTCTCTCTTTTGTTTTGCCCTCTTCTCCATACACCCCTCTGCCTCGCCTCCGCCCCCCCCCCCTATCAGAAATGAGTAAGGAGAGGGCAACTGAATGGGAGAAAAAAAGATGGATACCAGAGATGGCAAAAAACAGGAGGCTATAGAAGATGTGAGGAGAAAACCAGGTGCATTACGTTGAGTGCAACTCATGAGGAATCCTAGGATGTGAGAACCAAACGGTGTTCCCTGGGATTTTCAGTCATAGAATATTTTAAAGCAGATCGCCCGGCCTTTTTTCCATGGTAAATCAGGCTGGACCTGCACAGAGCACTGGACAGAAGCCTTTTTACTGCCATTGTATTGACTGTGCAAAGATTGTGCAGAGAAGTGGTACCCAATTGATGGACAATATTGCGAAGAACAGACATCAAGAACACTTCCTTAGGCACATGCAGAACTTGTATGTAGGCCAAGAAGCAGGGGATACTGGGTAGACCAAAATCAGGAAAGATAAATGACAGGGTTATATCCTTTCACCATACTTATTCAATCTGCATGGTGAGTAAATAATCTAATAAGTCAGACTAGATGAATAACATGGAGTCAGACACATCCTTATTTTCTGAAAATAAAGAGTATTCATGAATATCAAAGATTGTAGCCTTCACAATTCAGCATAAAGAAAACAGAAATTCACAAAACTGAACTAAGAAGCAACATCACAATAAACAGATTTTTAATTGGATTTACAATCCAATTAGTAGGGAAGCAGCAGTCAAGAAATTAAATGGCCTTTTGCATTGGGTAAATCTGATTCAAAATACATTTTAAAGATGTTATAAAAGCAAATATGTCACTCTGAAGACTAAGTTGTACCTGACCCAAGACATGGTATTTTCACTCATCTCTTATGCATGTAAGGAACTGGACAATTAATAAAGAAGACTAAGGAAGAATTGAGGCCTTTGAATTACTGTGTAGGCAAAGCATTACAGCCAGCATGCTCCTTAGAAGTAATGTGGTGGGACATCCCCTCACATCCTTTGGGCATGCTATTAGGTTTACCAGTCCCTAGAGAAGAGCATCAAGCTTCGTAAAGCAGACTTTCAGTGAAGAAAAGATGAGATGGGTTGGCACACTGGCTGCAGCATCCAACCCCAACATAACAATTGTGAGGATGGTACTATCCCAGGCATCATTTTATTCTGATCAGCATGGGTTCACGAGATGTCAGTTCTGACGTGATGGCACCTAACAATTACAAGAACACAGCATTCTTGACTGTATGTAACTATTCCCCCGTTGGTGTACATTCTATCATTTCAAAAATAGCATGCCGTAATTGTACCCAGGGGCTCTGCAGCAGTTCGAAGTAATGAACTGAGTGATCTCATAGAAGCATGCAAGATCTTAAATCCATAATGCTGATTGGAGGGGAAAAAGTAGGAAACAAAATGAGATGTAAGAACATAAAATGAATATGAATAAAAACAGAAGCCCGCAACTTGACACAAATACTCACTTTGTGATATAGCCTTGTCCATACAGACTGAACCGAAACATATGTACACTATGACTTAACAGTTACACTGCCAGGCCTGTCAAAATGCAGGCTTTCACCAAAAGACAACAGAGGTTTGTGGAAACCCTTATTTGTAGAGCAAAATGTGAAATTAACAAAATAATAATAAATAATGGAAATAAACAGTAGAATATTCACAAATGTATTGCCTTACAGCAATGAGAATGAACCATCCCCAAGTGCGCATAAATATATGGGTGACGATCAGAAACGCAATGTTGAGCTGAGGAGTTCAAACATGTAAATGCAGGTGCCATGGTCCCATTTGTGTGAAGTACAGAGCAAGAAAAATGGATCTGTGCAATTATTAGTGAGGATAATGGTTTCCTGAGCAACAGTGACTAGAAGAGACACCAGAGGGTTTGTGGGAGTTCTCTTTGTATCTACTTGCTATTGGTGCTGGTTACAGAGTTTCTGTTTGTGCAAATTTTTCACGGAGGGTGAGTGACATTGCATGTCTCTTTTATTTTAGTGCAAACACTTGAAGCAATACTGTACCTTGAATACGTTAGAAGGATTGCTTACGGGGGAGGGCATGACAGTGGAAGACGAAAGAGACTGGATGAGTTTGTTAGTTCTAGGATGAACTTTAGAATGTCAAGATGGTTCACCTTTTGCTTTAAGAATTTTTAGAAAAATTGTAGAAAATGCAATCAAGCAAGCAATTGTTGATGCATTGTTACTACAAACTTGAGTACTTAATTTTTTTTTCCACTGTGCAACCCGCTTCAGTGCCTGACACCCACGGGACAAAGCCAGGTTACAGTTTGCCCTGGCATGGGGCTCTATGAGAGCGGCCCGTGTGGTCGGGCCTGCCGTCAACCCAAACCCGTGCACGGAGTACTCAAATCTTATTACATCTTTAAGAACAGTATTGTTGTCCTCCTACAAAGGCGTGTCTGTAGTTCCCTGTCCTTGGACATGTAAGAATTGGAGGCAAAGAAATGTGAATTAGGAGGCATTTGGGGCCAGCTTGCTCCTCGCAGTCTCCAGCACCCCCATCCCACACTAAAACTAAAACTAATAATAATATTGTTGTGCTTGGGTGCGGCCAAGTCAGTTCCAACTCACAGCAACTCGGTGTAACAGAATGAACCTCTGCCCTGTCCTGTACCGTCCTCATCATTCTTAGGTTTGAGCCCATCGATGAGCCACTGTGCCAATCCATCTTGTCAGCGGTCTTCCTTGTTCTCTCTGCTCCTTAACTTTACCAAGCAGGATGTCCTTTTCCAGGGACTTGGCTCTCCTGATGGCACATCCAAAGGACTTGCATTCTGGCTGTACTTCTTCCAAGACAGATTTGTTTGTTTGTCTTTGGCAGTCTATGGTCTTTTTATATTCTTCACCAGCACCATAATTCAGATGTATCAATTCTTCTTTGGTTTTCCTTATGAAATGTTCAATTTCTACGTGCATATGAGATCATTGAAAATATGACAGATAGGTCAGGCCCACATTAGTCCACCAAGTAACATCCTTGCTTTTCAACACTTTAAAGAGGTCTTGGGCAGCAGATTGACCCAATGCAATGCATCTTTTGCTGTCTGGATGGCTGCATCCATCCATCATGTTACTGACTAGCCCCATGGTGAATATTTTGGGTTTCTTACTTTGAGTTGCAACAGATACTGAAGGCTGCAATCCTTGATCTCCAACAGCAAGTGCTTCAAGTCCTCCTCACTTTCAGCAAGCAAAGGCACGTGATCTGCATATCGCAGGCTGTTAATGAGCCTTCCACCAATCCTAATATCACACTCTTGTTCATATGGTCCAGCTTTTCTGATGGTTTGCTCAGCATACAAATTGAATAGTTATGGTGAGAGGCTGCAACCCTGACTCAGACTTTTGATTTTAAACCACGTTGTATTCCTTTGTTCTGTTCACACAACTGACTCTTGATCCATGTACAAGTTCCACATGAGCACCATATAGTGTTCCAGGATTCCTATTTTTCTCAAAGCTATCCATAGTTTGTTATGGTCCACAGAGGAGAATGTGTTTGCGTAGTCCATAAAATGAAAAATAGCACCTTTTTGGTAGTCTCGGCTTTCAGTCGAGGTACGTATATCTGACATCAGCTGTGACATTGCTTCTTCCACATCCTCTTCTGAATCGATCTGAGCGTCTGGCAGCTCCATATCAATGCATGGCTACAACTGCTGTCAGATGGCCTTCAGCAACATTTTACTGGCATGTTATGTCAATGAAGATGTTCTACAATTTGAGTATTCTGTTGTCACCTTCCTTTGAAATGGGTACAAATATGGATCTCATCTAGTTAATTACCCAACTCTTCCAAAATGTCATCCAAATGTCCTGGTATAGATGTCATTAGCTTATTACAACATTTCATTTGGTATTCCACCAATACTGGAGTCTTGTTTTTGACTAATGCTTTCAGTGCAGCTTGTCCTTTGTTCCTTCAGTACCATGTTTTCTTGCTTGTGTGCTACTTCTTGAGATAGTTGAATGTCAAATAGTTCTTTTCGATGGTGGCTTTATGTATTATTTCCATCTTTTTTGGGTGTTTCCTGCATCATTCAATATTTTGCCCAGAGAATCTTTCGAGATTAAAATTCAAGGCTCGAATTTTTCCTGGAGTTTCTTCAGTTTAAGATATGCTTAGCATGTTCTTCCCTTTTGCTTTTCTAACCCAATATCTTTGCACATTTCATTACAATTTTTTATTTTATCTTCTCAATCTGCCTTTTGGAATGTTCTCTTCAGTTCTTTAAGCTCATCATTTCTTCCATTTGCCTTGTCTACTCTACGATTAAGAACAAGTTTTAGAATCTCTCCTGACATCTAGACTGGTCTTTTCTTTCTTTCCAAGCTTTAAAGACCTTTTTCTTTCCTCGTATATCATGTTTCTTTTTCCCCAAACCATTTTATTAGGAGATAATCCAGACATCATATTCCAGAGTTCAATCACACGTGTATGATGTTCTCAATGTCATCCCATGGTTCATCGGGTCTTCTGTCATTAGTGTTTAATGCATCAAATCTGTTCTTAAGATGAATTTGAAATTAAGGTGGTATAGACTCAAGGTCATATTTTGGGTCTGTTGGACTTGTTTTCATTTTCTTCAACTTCAACCTGAACTTACATATGAGCAATTTCTGGTCTGTTCCATGATCAGTCCCTCACCTGGCTGTAGTTGCTGATGTTGAGCTTCTCCATCACCTGGTCCCACAGATGTAGTTAACTTGATTTCTATGGATTTCTGGATTTCATCTGAAGAAGTCTGTGTTTATAATTGCCTTTTGTGTTGTTGAAAAAGAAGATATTTGCAATGAACAAGTCATTGGCCTTGTCAAATTCTGTCATTTGTTCTGTGGATTTGTTTCTGTCACCAAGGTCATATTTTTCAATGACTGTTCCTTCCTGTTTGTTTCCAACCTTTGCATTCGAAATGCATGCTTGAGAAATTTCAGACTGAACACTTTGGTAGAATTCTTGAACATCATCATCAATAGCTTGGGTGGTGGATGCACAAATTTGAGTGATAGCTATATTGATTGGATTTCCTTGAATGTAGATAGATATAATTCTATCACAGATAGCATTTGTACTCCAAGGTAGATCTTGAAATGTCCTTTTTGATGTTGAATGGAATGACATTTTTCCAGATTATTTCATTCTCAGCAAAGAAAACCATATGATTTTCTGATTCAAAATGGTCAATACCAGCCCATTTCAGGTCGCTGTTTCTACAATGTTGATTTTTATGTGCTTCGTTTCACTTTCACAACTTCCAATTTTCCTAGATTCATACTTCATGCATTTTGAGTTCTGGTTGTGAACTGATGTTTGCAGCTGGTTCTTCTGAATTTGAATCATGCCCCATGAGCAAATGGCTTCGCTCCCACAGGCTTTATTCCATCCACGTCGTTATGGTCGACTCTGCTTTGAGAAGGCAGCTCTTTCTGTCCTGTTCTGAGGGCTTCCTACCTGAGGTGCTCATCTTCTGGCACTACCTCCAACAGTGTCCTACCGAGTCTCACGAGACTTTCAGGGTCGGACAATACTTTGATTCTGTTCATCAGGTTTTCATTGGCTGCTTCCTCGGGAGTGGACAGCCTGTTCTTGCTTCATGATCCCAGTGACATAGCTTCCCGAATTACAGCAACACAGAGTCCCCACAGCACAACAAACCTCCAGAGGAGTAGAGGTATGAAGAAAATACTATTACATGTGATGATTATGGGATGATAACTAAGGTGTGCCTACTCCAAGTCTTTGTCTCATATATGTATGGAAGCTGGAGAACATGAAGTTATGCATGTGAACTGTGGGGGAAGAATCTCGAATATGCCATAGATTGCCAGAAGAGTGAACATTATTAATCTTAGAAGAAAGACAGCCAGAATTCTCCTCAGAAGTGAAAATAGTGAGACTTCAGGTCAAGTGCTTTAGACGTACTCCCAGGAAAAACACAACCTGTTTGGTCAATTGGAGGGTCAGCGCATTCCAGGGAGGTCGTCAAAGACGGATTGACACAGGGCTTGAAACACTCGACTTGAGCAAGCCAAGGGATTCCGAATGGAAAATTTCATTATTTCTAACAAAATACATAAACATCACTGTGTAGAAAGTTGCCACAGGACTGGGCAGTATTTCATTCTAATATAAATAAGGTCACTACGTATTGAAACCAGTTGGAGGCATGGTTGCAGAGTGGTTACAAGTTGGGCTGCTAATCTTAAAGTCAGTGGTTCAAAACTATCAGCCACGCCACAGGAGAAAGACAAGGCATTCTACTTCCTTAAAGAGTTACAGTCTTGTAAACCTGCAAGGGCAGCTCTGCTCTGTTGCATATGGCTGGCGTGAGTTGGAATCACCTCGATGGCTATGAGTTTAGTACAGAAGTAGCAATTAACAGCGGTAACTATGATATCAGATGTTAATGTATATTTATTTAATGTTTTAAAATCACACAATTTAAGTCATTTTCATTTTTACAACAGGAAATTTATGTTCTTTTTCTCTGCACGTTAACTTCAGAATCAATCTTTTCAAATTGTATTGAATGTAATCCCAGCCACTCCTTGCTGGAATGAGATATTTTTCCTTTTAGAGCAACCTAAACATATTAGAAATCTGGAAATGTCTCTGATTTAATTCCCTTCAGAGAGGTGCTAGAAGAGTTGTTTTAGGTTATCCTGGTGACATTTATTAGGATCAGAAGGCATGGAGATAAGACTGTCAGAAACGTTTACTTTATTTAGCTATTTAGATCCTCCCACACCTGCTTAGCCCAGTGACCCGAACTATCTTTAATAGCCTGTATTAAATGTCTAGTGGATAAAGGGCAAGAACACAACAGCTGAAGGAAAATGTATGTGGTGTTTTTTTAACATCAATTTTCTTTTTTAATTTTTTAAATAAAATTTTATTGAGACATAATCCAAATCTCATACAATTCAGTAGTTCAGTCATATCGCAAAGTGTTGTACAATCATTACCACAATTGATTGTAGAACATTTTCTTTTCCCTTGTACTCCTTGTTATTAGCTCCCCTGCCCCCACCCCTCAACCACCCCCTGCCATACCGCCAAGGAGTCGCCATCCATCCAGGTACTGTCTCTACACAGTCACCCATCCCGGATTTCACGCAAAATGTCCAAACGCTAACAACAACAAAACAAAGTAGAGAAAACTGGTTTACCTCCATTGAATGGATAAAAGAAAACTAATTTTGGTAAACGAGTTATATGAGCTATTTTTATATCAGTGTATTGTTAGGTATATGGAAAATGTTCACCACATGCTGGTTATTTTTAGTGCTATGAATTTAATTAACCCATGACTTGTTCATTGTTTGACATTTCTGTTTTGGGGAAGAACGGTCATTTGTATAAGTAAAACAGATTTTATCCTTGTATGCAACTAAAAATATTTTTTAAACATCAATATAATCATTTCTTAGTATGTCATTGTTGGGGGTCCTTTTTGGGGGGGTTGTTAAAAGCCAGAGTTACTAGATGGTTAAAGTTTAGAAACCAGACT